GCTAGAGGAAGAATAGTTTAATTTCACTCTTATTTAATATTTAAAATAGAGAATTTACACCATAAGAATGGATTTTAAGGAAGGGTTTGATTATTATCTTCTTGTAGGATATATATAATAAGAACTTCACTCTGTGGCATAATTTATTTAGTTAGTAGTTTTTACTTAAAATAAGATTCTTTAGTCCTAATACATGCAGCATAAAATAAAATGTAAATACTGCCTGCACCTTACACACATCTTTCAGCCGGTTTGTAAATGTTTGTCAAAACCTAGATTCCATGAATCAGTGAAGTGAGTCTGTGTATGGCACAATGTTATTAAGATGTCTTGATGTATACAATAAGTTAACAGATTGATTGATTCACCTGCAGTTGATCTGAGCTTTGTTATGTAGCTCACAGCAAATGCTGCTAAAAATAAATGCTTGTAACTGTAATTTGGTTCCGTGTTTAAGTTATTTCTACCACATGTTTTGATTATTTTGGCCATCCACTGCGTTTGGGCCGCAGACATTTTCTACACTATTTGCACTCTGATCCAAAAACGCTTCGTGCAGTCATACCATCTGCAGTTTACGTTCTTGTGTGATGTGGAAATGAAGGAGCAGCTCAAATGGAAAATGTGTCAGCAGAAAAGTGGCAGGAGGTCCAATCTGTGCCTGTATGATAACAGAAAGCAGGAGAAGACGGTTGGTCTGAGTAAGACTTCTGAAGAACCCATTTTATGTTTCTGCACAAACACTTTTACCCCAAACTTCAGCAGGCTGGACCAAGGGTTTACTTTTATTCAACTGGGTGAGTCAGTTCAGAACAACCAAAACGACCTACATGTATTTAACTGCTAGAAGAATGAGGTGTGACATTTTTTTGGATAGATGGAGGAGAGTTATGTAACTTATGCCATGTCTGTGTAAACTTTTATAGCCTCTCATGTCTTCTCAGGCTATGTATCTTACATTCCAGTATATTTGTGGGACATTTTAAGCTCCCCTGTCTCTCTTCCACAAAGGCCCGAGAGACCTCTTAAAAACATCTGAAACATAAACACAGCATATAGTTTTCAAGGACTTGGGACAAAAAAAGTTTCCACTGCCGTCTCTGAGAACAGCTTTAGCTTTTACATGCACATGTTTAACACTCTACACACAAAGAAGAAGGGTAGTTTTCTCAACTGAATGCAAAAGGTATCCTGATATTTAACAAGATAATGTCATCTAGTTAAGTGTTAGTGTCTCACCGAACCCCAACCTCACATTGCAGCAGGAGTTCCACCGTTCTGTCCTCTGCCCTCTTCAGTTCATACATAAATAATAGATGAGTTAGTGAATCCAGTAGAATTATTTCTACCCAACCACTGCAGCACTTTAAAATATTGTTTGAAAACTTGTGAATAATATTCTGACAAAATCTGACAAAACTTTATTTTTCTACAGGACTCAGATAAATTTAAAGGCTAATAGACAATGTATTGAACCAGTTTCAGAAGTAGCCTAAAATATCTTCTAATATCTAAAAGGGAACTGATTTTACACATCAAAGACTGTTTATAGGTCTTTGGGACTAGGAAAAAGTTGTACGAAGTATTTAATGGCTCCAAAGGGGGCTGGTGGGTCTGAAGGCTACAAGTTTAAAAATAATGTGGTGGCGTGGTGTCGGAAAGATGTGAGTTCACCTCTGTAGCCCGCCTACATTAGTCACTACACACTCTAAATGTATCTTACTTTTATTGTTATTTTAGTACTGGTGGTAGCATTCATACACTTTATTACTCTCTTGTTTATATACTGATGCTGCTGTAATTTTTGAGCAATCTTTTGGCACAAGAATTTCTTTCGGGATTAATAGTTTTCATCTTGTCTATCTTTGAACAAACTGTTGGCGGTCAAGTTGCATTGTGGGTAATGCAGGCGCCAGGTTTTGATAAGGAAGAAGAATGTGTGGAATAAAAAAGATAATATCTGACAGTGTTATAAAGGTGCAGAGCTAAATCTGCTCTTTAAATCAGATGCCAACCAACCTAATTTGAAGATCATATTAAAATGGTGAGTAAGATTACATATCAGTAAATCTCATTAGAGACTGTTTACCATATTATACTGAAAATACTTGTATGTGTTCCAGCAACATCTACCCACAGTTTGCCAACATACAGTCATACCAGACCAACAAGCAGCAAAACCCCTGAGCATATTGACTGGAACAAGGATGAGTTTTATGACCAATGAGTTCAACTTTTAATTTGGAAGTGAGAATGTGTTATTCTTTAAAACTTACTGTATAACGAGCAGTTTCTACAACAAACAACCCTTTTATAGGTGTATATATATCATTGTGCAATTAAAACTTTGGATAGTAAGCTGATAGTTAGTTTATTAGGAATATAAGAAACTAAATATGTTGAACTAATGATTAAACTAATCAGTAAATTCCTTAATAATCTGACTCTTGAGGTGCTCAGTGGCATGGTGTTACCTGTTCCGCCTCAGTAGCTGTGAGACGTCGTATCATAAACCTTTGTTTGAACAGACATCTTTTTCTATTCAGGGGATCAATATGTGGACCACCTTATCCACGGAATTCAAACACACCATGAATTTCAAATTGAAACAGGGTTTAAAGAGGGATCAGTAATTTCACGAGGGATCCAGGGCTTGTTGTTGAGTTTTATGGTAATTCTATTGCATCATTGTTCTTCTTTTGTGCTGTTTTTTATGTATTTTCCTGTTAAGCTTTAGTGCTTTAGCAGAGGCCCAACTAGGGACAGGCTTTAGACTATAAATACTGCACTATGTGGCATTGGTCCATGCTATACACTTGTCCTGATAAAAATAGACACTAGATAAATAAATAAATAGTATTTTGGTGTCTGCTTTGCTTTACATTGTATGTGTGAACAGATGGCTGAGCTGAAGACAATGATAAGAAATGGATTTTAAGCAATTGAATCAGAATTTAATCTCAGTTCAGGATATAAACTAATGCACTTAAGATCAGTGAAGAGCTATACTATAAACGCTCTCCTCCATCCATCTGTGATTCTGTATTTTCAGATGACAGCCATTTGATGATTTTCTTAGTCTATCAATAAACTTCTTGTTGAAATATTCACTGCTGATTTACTCGAATAAAAAGGTTTTTATCTCCGGAATTCCATGAACTCCGAGGTGCAACATACCAGAGGATCAAAACATCTGGGAATTGATGCCAGGAGAAGCCATGTAGGGGTAGGAGGAATGTGGAGGAGAGGATGAACACAGTGTGAGTGTGTGTGTGTTCCTGAACAGCTGACGTCAGAGCTGCGTCTGTGCATGCTCTGGAGAGCAGGACATCCTGTGGAATTGTTCTCGGCGAGGCCTGAAGAATGTAAAGCAGCTACCTCTCCCCTCTCTCTCGTCTGGGTGAAATGTTGGGAGTGACAGGCTGCCACAGAAATCTTGGGGAGGAGACAGGGAGGGCAGGATCTCCATCAAAATCTCACTGGGACATCGAGTTCATCAGGTCACTTAAAAGGAGAAAAGACCAAGAAGAGATCAGTGTAGGATTCCTTTTGAATTCCAGTGAAGATTAAAATAATGTCTAAAAATGGATTCACTGTGTGTGCGTGACAGTAATCTCAAGGAAATTTTTGACATTCCTAGAGTTAAGATCAATGAAGCATGTTAGCACTGATAGAAAGAAACACGTAGAGATGACTACACTGCCACAGCAATATAAAGACAAACAGAACAGAAAAGGGAGAAGATGCATGGTTGCTGTTTTTCTTACTGCACAGGTTGGCTCTTTTTAGACACAATGAGACAAACATGTCTGCTTTTAGGAGAGTGTGGAGAGGAGTGAGTGTGGGGGTGGGGAGTGGAAGGGAGGTAGGCGATAGGGGAGTGAAGTGACGCAGGCTGGATAAAGTGGGGTGGGGAGGGTGTTGTGGGTGTAGCTATTTTTAGCCACCGTTACAGGAGACACATATTAGCTGCACTCCTCGACCCTCCCTGGCTTCCTACGTCACTTTACTCCAAGCTGCTCCTCTCCACCCTGCATCATGTGACAGGTGCAGCCCGAGACCCTGCTGTGGACCAGAGGTGGGACACGAATACTAAACAGCCGAGGAACAAAAGGACTGCAGAATACAAAGGGTAGTCTGCCTGTGAACGTCTCCTCCCACTGGCTGAACAGTGGGATTATGCAGCATCCACAGATGTTAAGGCCATGTGATGGACTGGTCAGGGTGTTTCCCTTGCCTTCAACTTAGTGCATGCTGGGATAGCTTTCAGAACCCCTGTAAGCTCGAAAAAGCAAAAAGGGAGGAATGACTAAATATTCTTTAAATCATCTTTACTGAATTTTATCTTTAAAGTAGACATTTAAAAACACATTATGTCATTCAATTGTGTGATTTTGCCTGACATTTCATTATACATTCACATTTGTGTAGTTTGAAATCACTATTTTAAACTACAAGCTTTCTTTATAGTTAAAGCTATTAAAATGTCCCAAAAATGTGCAGGAATCTAAGATACAGCGTATCTTGGTATTGTAATTATAGTGATTTGTAGCTATACAAATGTGCCTTGGAGTTGACAGGTATGTAACTAAAAGTAAATTCCATGTTATTTATGCAGCACAAAACCACAGATTTGCACATGACCTCGATCTGTTTTTAGACAACAAATAAGCCCAAAAAGTATGAAATAGAAACTTAAGGAAATGAACTTTTAGCTCTGGGTGTGCTTTTCAAACTTGTGTGTATTGTGATTTATCTCAGGGGAGCTTTTAAAAATGTGTATAAACATTTCAAATGTTACAAATTACAGTCTGTCTCAGGAGATTTTGATATGATGACATTTTGTACAAAATGTTGTAGAGCTGAGCAGATTGCATCATTTATGAATGGTGAGTGAGGCACAAAACAGGGTGGAGCCATGTAAGGAAACAGTCGCTTTGATTGGACAGTGCGGGTGTTCGGGTGGGCGGGGCTTACACCGGCAGGGTTGGGGTGTTTTACGCTCGGTGGAGTAGTGCTGCGTCTGTCACAGCCAGAAAGAGGAACTGTTACACCCTGTTGTGGGTAAACCGCTTTGTATCAGTGTTTAAAGCTGCTTCGCCCTGACCACTCAGGAATGAAGAGCAAGACTAAACAGTTTAATTCAATCTAGCGACCAGAGTCTGATTTGGACCTTTCACAGTAAGTCAGCTGAATGGAGCAGCAGCAGCAGCAGCAACGGGGCCTCTGTAGCTTCACCCCGGTCCGGGCTGCATGCTGTGGGGCTGGGGTCTCCACCGGTCAGCCCACCATGCGATTGTCCATCACCTCGACCACCGGCAGCCCGGTGGAGCTTACTGTCCCCCGAGGAGAGACTGTGGAGGGACTGAGGACACACATCTCCCAAAAACTCAGACTGCAAACAGACAGGATCGTCCTGCTGTTTAAAGACAGGTGAGTCACTCTTTATACACTGATACTGAGCTCCATGTAGAATCAAACACGTTATGTGGTGTTATATCATATGCTGACTGTGCAATGGGTGTGTGGCAGGCAGCTGACTGCAGGGAAACTGTTGGACTTGGGTGTAGCAGATGGTAGCAAACTGACCCTGGTCCCTGTCATTGAAGCTGGTTTAGTAGTAAGTAAGCCAATGCACACCTTACACTTGGGGGGAATAAATGTTTAATGACACTTCACTTCATGTCAAGAACTGTTTTGTTCTGTGTTTGCTGTCACAGTGCTCGTCTGCCAGAGCTGAAAGAACTATGATGGACGTTTTGGAAAGTTTAACAGAAGTCCAGGTAAGACTTTAATGAGTTTAATGTCTAATTCTAACTGTAGGCTGTAAATAAACCAGTTGAATGCATGTGTGAGGTGAGTAAAAACCTAAAGAATTCAAACTATGCACTGGTGTGTGTTTTCTACATATTTTGTGGAGCAGGATGTAACGCCTCCATCTCAGTCCTATGAAAACCACATATTTTGTTTCAGATAATCCTGCTCTAGAAGTAATATTGTTTTCTAAACCTATTAAAGGATCATTTCAGTTAAACTTTAAGAGTTAGGAGAATAGGTAGAATTAAGAATTACCTTATTTTGAGATATGTGTTCTTCGCTGGACAGTGACCTGTGTATGATTCAGCTGTTACAGGAAAATAAAACCCCACACATTCTTGTTTTGATGTATTAAGCATGCTTACACCTGCAAACATTATTGCATCATGTCCTTCAAAAGGCAATGCACACTATATCTTACAGTCATAAAGCTACATTCATACACACTACCACACACTCATATAGTTACAGGCGTCACTTAAAAAGGGAGGTAATACAGAGTGCTGTGACTTGTTTACTTTAAGCTATAATCTCAAGATTTTCATGAAATAAAACTTTATTTTTAAAACTGCGTATGGTTAGCACTTGGTTCTGCAATATCATTGACTGTGTTTACATTCATTAATTACTATATCCCTTTTTATAGTTTTCATGGTTACTGGCGGGGTATGCCATTCCAGCCATTCAAATTGCATACAAAGGAGTAATTCACTGGCAACACTGCATGAATGTAATACAAAACATCCATGATGGCTTTCAATTTCATTAAAACAAGAGAGAGTATTTATCAGATATACCTGTTGTATTTCTGATAAAGTAGCTGCTATATGTATTTCCTATTGTACTGTGTAACTTTAACTTTGATTCTTTTTATCTTGACTCTCTTTCAGATCAGTGACTTCCTGTCTGGACGCTCATCTCTGACCATTAACCTGGGAATTGGTGCCCATGTGATGTATGTGCAGCTCCAACTGTCTGCGCAGAACGTGGCGGAGCTGCAGCAGCACCGGGACATGAGAGCCGGGACCAGCAGCCAGCTTCGAACTGGCCTGCCCGCTGCTGTCAGGATGAACCACCCTGACTCTGTCTCAGCCTCCACCAACACCACAGGATCCACTACCTCACCTGCTTCCCAAACCTCCACTCCAGCCCCGAACTCTCCTGACTCTATATCCTCGATCCAGTTCAGCGCTCAAAGACCCAGGACTGCCTTTAATTCAACACCTCCCGCTTCCCACTCATCCACCACTGCCCCTGCTGTGGGCTCATCTCCCCACTCTACACATGCATCTCTTCCTGTTCTTTCAACCCCTTCTTTGCCTTCTGGTTGTCCACATCCCAGCGGTTCACTACAAGCAGCCACACCAGTCTGCTCACCTGTTCCCACCGGCTCCATTCCTGGACCCCAGAGCCCAGTGCCAGCCTCAACCTTTAAAGAGGTTAGCCTGACATATTTTGCTGCCTACATACATAATACAAAAAAGGCTATGTATAATCATCATATACTAGTGACAGTGATATATTAGTGACATAATAAACCAGTTTAGAGTTCAAAATGTCCAGTTTTTAATAGTTCTACTGGTTATTATGCATCATAACGGGAGATCATCTTTTTCCTTCTTGTTTTACAGAGTAATGTTCGTGCCTCAGCCTCTGCAGAGCTGTGTAAGCAACCAGGAGCAGTCATAGAAAGTTTTGTGAGCCACTCTCCAGGCATCTTCTCTGGGACTTTTTCTGGTAAGTGTGTGTCAGCAGCAGAGGCCTGAAGATGACATTGCAACACAATGAGAACATAGATAGATAGATATAGAGTAGTGAAACTGCCCATTTTAATTGTGTATATATATATATATAGATTATATATTATATTGCATTCAGATGCTTTCTTTATTTGACCAAGATATTCAGTTTATTACTATATGGCAAAGAAAAGCAGCAAATCAGTTTGTACTAGTTCTTCCTTTTCATCCACTATCCATCTCTCCTGTCTCATTTCCCCTTACTCTCTTCTAATCCCGTCAGGCACTCTGGCCCCATGCAGTCAGAGCGGCACCAGCCATCCTCGAGGTGGCATCGCCATCATTCTTCAGATCCTTAATGACCTCATCAGAGCTGCCTACCACCACCAGGGGGCTCCACCTGCCCTCCCTCATCTCCACTTTCCTGCTTCAGTCAGCCCGCTGCTTACAGCCGAGGAGCAAAACAAAGCAAAAAACAAAACACTGGAGACCCAGAGGGCAGAGAGCCTCAGTAAAACTCCAGGTGAACTTTTTTTTTGTAAACAGTGGAATATTATACACATGAACACTGGAGGAGTTACTAAAGATTGCAGACATGCATGCATACATTCCATATGCAATTAAAGTTGGCCTAAATGGTACCGACCAAACTTTTGGTGCTGTAATAAAAGGCTGTATTCAGTCAAGTGTTTAGTGTGTGTGGGAGATTATGACGTGATTTATTTCTTTCTTTCTCTTTTGATTCCTTCTCAGTATTTCTGGTCGTTTGTGTGTACTTTACACATTTTCTGTATTTCACTTGTATAACAAAGCATATTGTGGGCTCTCTTTAACACCATGATACTCCCATTTGTCAAATATTTGCCCTGATGAAGGACTAGTAATTGAAACTCTGGCTTTATCATTAAATTATTCCATTAGATCTGTGTTTAGAGCCTTCATGTTTCCACCTTTTACTCTTACCACTCCTACCAAAAAACGTATTCATAAATATATTTCTTATGATAAATTTGATTATTCATGACAGAACACACCAAACAGTAGCTTTATTTTTGTGGAGCATGCCTAACATGTTGTTATTTCTTCCTTCTCCTGTAGGTGAGAGTCACACCTCCCACTCATCCACACAGGAAAATCAAGCACTGCACTGTAAGCTAGAGCGCCTGCAGTTTTTGATGCATCAGAGGCGTCTTCGCAGGCGGACTCGCAGGAACTCACACCTCTCGCAAACGTCTCACCCGTACCAACATCGTCACCATCGTCCCTAGTCTACTGGACAAAAAAATATCTACCCACTGTGATAGCAGTGGCAGCTTTTTACTGAGTGGGGGCCGGAGCTGACCTCTGACCTTGTGGAATAGGTGAAAGCAGCAGAGCATATGCTTTGTTGCTATTTTTTACGCCATGAGCGTTTCTGAAGAATGTAAACCCAAAAGATCCGAAGACTCTGTCTCATGTTGCTGCCACTGTACTGAGCATGTTACTTCATGCATACAAATGGCTTTCATTGTTATGTAGCATATGTCACAACCCATTTTAATGTTAAACATCTTGGTGTTTTGTACAAAGACTGTATGTGTGTTTATGTATTCCTGTACTGTATGTAGTCCAATGCCTTAACCATACATGTCTTGAATGTAATCTGTATGTTTTGTTCTGTGCAGAGGACATTCCTCTTAAATGTTTTACTTATGCAAAATTCAGATGTAAACACAAAAAATAAAAAATATGCAAAGAATAAAGGAAAAAAATTTAAAAAACCTGGACATATTTGCGTGTCAAGCCCTTTTCAGACACAGGACATTGCTGCCTTTGTTTGTTAACGTGATGTCTTTTTGTCATTCATTAATTTTCTTTATAGCTGCATTCAGGCCTGACATTTACAGCCACATTGCTCACATGATATTTTGCACCTGATGTCTGAGAGTGAGTTGCTGAAAAGTAATGATACCAAAAAGGAAGGCTCTCAGTTGTCTCACAGGCTGCATTGCTCCGTCTCGTAACAAAGAACTGATCGAGTAAATAAGTCCGGACATGAAAGACAAAAGTACGACTTGACAACAGTGAGTGTTGTACTTCTTGCTTAAGGCACTGAACAACAGTTGACAGTTGCACAATGAAACTAAGTGCAAACTACAAAACTTATACGAACAACAGACAAAGTGTACTGACTGCAAAATGATTCCACTTGGAGAAATCCATGACTAAAGCAGTTTGGTCACGATGTTCAACAAAAACATGCAACAAGTCACAAAAGAGAACAAGAGACAACAGCAAAGTTTATCTCAAACAAACTTGAGCATAAGTGTGTTTACATCCCACCTCAGGCCTGTGTTAGTGAGGCCTTACTACACCTGGCTGACCAGATAACAAACCACACTCATTGTTCTCTGGGACTTTAACAAAGCAAACCTCAGACACAAACTTCCAAAGTACAGACCACATATTAAGTGTCCCACAGTTAGTATCCCTAACACACTAGACCACTGCTACACCATCTTTGTTCACTGTCTGGTTCATCTTATTGCAACCTACAGACAGAAACTTAAACTTGCTTAGCCTGTGGTCAAGAATGTGAGAAGGTGAACCAACGAGTCGAAGCTGGAATTAGAGGCCTGCTTTGACTGCACTCATTGTGAGTGGTTTTAAGGCTGAATGAACTCACTGAAACTGGGACATGTTACATCAGTTTTTGTAAGTATGTGTGTGTGCCGACTAAGACCTTCTGCACATACAAACCACAAACATAAAGCCTGGTTTACGGCAAAACTCAGGCAGCTCCATCAGACCAAGGAGGAGGCCAACAGAAGTGGAGACAAAATCCTCTAAAAACCAGTCCTGAAACAAAGGAGGTCAAAGCAGCAAAGAGGTGCTACTCTGCATCAGTGTGGAGAGGCCTGCAGGACATCACCCGCTAAGGACAAAAGACACGACAACCATCCCCCCACACTACTGTGGTGACCATCAACTGGCTGACGACCTGAATGTGTTTTACTGTAGATTTGATAAGCCCACATTCACACCCCTCCCCCCGCTCCAACATCATACGGCTACCTATACCCCCTGCCACCCTCTCACCTCTCCCCACTGACCCCCCACCTGCACTCAGGATCTGTGAATAGAATGTGCACATAAATATTTAAATGTAACTTCGCAAGATTCACTTTAGTTTTATAATTCTTCTGACTACACTGAAACAACTTTTATCAACTGATAAAAGTGCAGTCAGGAAGCTAAGGACTTGAGCTGAGTGTTATTCTCACTACATGAAGTTCTTATCAAACTGTCAAACTTGTCTTCCTGGATAGAGCGTCTAAAAGGCATGTTCGAACTAAAATATCACATTAGAGCGAGATACCTTGAACTGAAAGGGGAACAAGTCATGTGGGACAGTTTGGTTGGATGTTTATAAAGAAAATACATTTTGTGGGGCTAAACTTGTTTCATCCACCACGTCCTTTACAGACCATGCTTCCATCCAAACATGCATGCTCACAATCCCTACTTTGTGACTACTTTGTATCAGAATCAGAATTGGGTTCAAAATTATTTTTACCCATACAAGGAATTTGCCTTGGTGCATTGGTGCATAAAAATCACACAAAAAACAACTACTTTTTTGAAGATCTTTATCTTTGATTTTTACTTAGTGACTACTTTGTAAGCCAGTTGTTGTCAAATATGCAATTTATACAAGTGTTACGTGGAAACTATAAAGCCTCCAGCCCACATACACCCAGAGTGGACATTTAAGTAAAGTAAGATACACGTTGTTTCTAGTTTTGTAGCTTGTGAAAAGAAAACTATTTGGATATTCAGATTCATAAACATTTCTCAATGGATAATATCAGGCATTTCTACTCTGGTCAGAATCCATAGAGATATCGGTGCTTTTGTAGCCCATAAAACACACACATATATATATATATATATATATATACTTATAAATAAAATAAAACCATGACTGGAGGACCCTTTAAAGCCACGCTGTTGTACCGGCCCGTGCAGTAGGGGGGCGGTACGTTTATTGGTGAACCGCCAATAAACCAAAAGAAGAATACGTCATCACGCCGAGCGCTGAAAAGCGGTGAGCGCTTTCTCTCCTCTCTCATTCGACCTGCAGCCCCGCTCCTCATCTGATCCAGACCTGCCAGGGAAAAGGTAACAGCTACTTCAACGGTGGTTTCTTATGGGTTTTTAAACTGTTCGTTAGACCTGTTAACTTACATCTGTATTTGTATGGTCGTGCTAATTTGTTCGCAGTCGGGCTGGTGTTGAGTTTTTAACGTTTTGTTTGAGATAAATGAGCATTAAATGTAGAGAGGATGTGTGGATGTTAAAGCAGTCGGATAACGTTAGGCCGCGCCAAAATAGTTAACGTTGTTTTTCTGTGAATGGAGGTAAAGTGTTTTTAAAAACTGAGCGAAATCAGGTTATCAGTCTCAATTTTACTGGCTTTTAAAAAATTATTTAATTATGTAACCACGAAATCGGGCATCTTGGTTGACGGGAAGCTAACCGCTAAATCTGTCGGCGAAACAAAAGTGAGCACCATGAGCTCGCTGCTACAAAATGGCGCTGGAAGGAAAATTGTTGCTAACGTAGCTAATCCGCTAACAGACGGCACCACGTTTACGGGCCTGGGGCCTAGCTCCACCTGTGCCCCAGAATGGCGCCAACGCGTTTAGCGTGACATTTTTTACAGCTTGACTTCATTTTAGCGTAAGTCTGAATTGATGCATCGCTTTTAGGAACTATTACGAAGTAGTTTAAGGTAAAAATGCGCACACCGCCAATAATGGCCGTCTCGTGTAACGAGGACTGGTGACCTACTTTCGCACTGCGTGAGCTGACGGTGTTTACTGGTTATTAACGCGGCAACTGGGTGGTTTTAGCTCCACGTTTCTGTTGGCTTTAAGTAAGTCGAGTTTAAGTAAGTTTGTTTTTTTTTTCCCTTCTAGCTACTCTTAAAGATGTCGGACGAGGGTAAATTGTTCATCGGAGGATTGAGCTTCGAGACCAACGAGGAGTCTCTGGCTGCGGCCTTCGGCAAATACGGAACCATCGAAAAAGGTAAATAACTCCACGCCTTCGTTTCTGTACATTTTATTCGATTATAAGTTATTGCTTTGCACGCGTGAAGCGGGTTTTGTAACTTGATGATGCATTTATTTTTATTTTTTCAACGTGTGCGTTTCTTCCCTCCATTAGTGGATGTGATCAGAGACAAAGAGACGGGAAGATCTCGCGGTTTCGGCTTTGTGAAATACGACAATGCAGAGGATGCAAAAGACGCAATGACGGCAATGAACGGCAAGGTAAATCAACAAAACATTTATACCATTTATATTAACTTTTTTGTTTTTTCTATTTTTGTATTATACTAAAGTTTTAGCCACTCACTCAGGCCTGTGTAGAAATGTCTACTCACTTATCCATGTCGATTATATTGTAGAAATATGTTAAATCTAAAGCCACATGGCACATTTATGGTTTAAATTGTTGTCAACTATGGGTTTTTAACTGTTTAATTAACAATTTGTTGTTTTTTTTTTTCTAGTCTCTAGATGGTCGGGCTATTCGCGTGGATGAAGCAGGAAAGGGCGGACGCACCAGGGGTGGATTCGGATCAGGCCAGCGAGGCGGCAGATTCAGCGGATCCCGGGGGAGAGGTGGGAGAGGTTACTCAAGAGGTGAAAACCTGTTGTCGAAATTGTGGCCATGTCTTTGTCTAACTTACTGTTAACTCCTCCACATTTCTTATTTGCTACTATCGAATTATCTTTGGAGGTGGGGGATACAATGGCGAAAGGAGTTATGGTGAAAGGAGTTATGGGGACAGGAGCTTCGGAGGTGGAGACAGGAGCTTTAGCAGCGGTGGTGGAGGCGGCGGCGGATACAGGAGTGGAGGATACTCTTCAGGTGGTGGCTACAGAGAAAATAGGTAAGGCACTTGAAACCACAGTGCATAATTATACATGGTTTCTCCACCCAAGCATTCATGTAATGTAATAAATGTTTTGTTTAATTGTTGTAATTTCTAGGGGTCAGGGTGGATATGGTGACCGCTCTGGAACCTACCGCGATGGATATGATGGCTATGGTAAGCATGAATGAAATGCATTTGTACTGTGTGTAGACGTATGTTGGGGCTGTTTCCACATTTTAAAAGCCAAAATTGAACTTCACCTTCACACACCGACTTGAAAGCAGTTCACTGGAAACGCCCAAGTATTACCCCAGATTGCACTCGTTCAGAAGTCATCTTATATTATTTTTCACTGAGATTTTTAAACACAATCACACAAGGCGTCGCCACACTAATTTTAATCACTTCACAGCCCCAACATATGAGAACTTGTTTCATGTATGCCCCTCAGTTTTGTACCTGAGCCCAAGTTGATGCCTCCCTGTATACCGTTGCCAAATTTTGCTAGCCTCCCCCAGCCCCACTCTGAGAGGCTGGCAAACAATGAAAGACTTAAGCAAATGCTGAATGTTATTCTGATACTCGTATCTAAGCTGGTGGATCCCCTTATGCAAAAACGGAGGGAGGGTTTTTTGGACTGTCTTGTGGGTTGAGGGGATGTTGTGAAACTCCAGTGTTGGAACTTTCAGTGTCTTTACCTGTGTGCCCACTTCTTATCCTCAGCTACACACGAGTAAACATCTCCCTGATTCAAGATCATCACTTGGCTGGCTGTATTTCAAAGATGCGCTCCTCAAGAAAAATGTCCACGTGTTATTGCTG